GGGGGGCTGGATACGCCACTGAGCCCCCCACCCCGAGATTTTTATTACACAGAATGTGTCATGGGTGAGTAAGAAAGAAAGTAATCCGTCTATTAGCACCAAAAAGCCAAGAAAACATCCACTGCAAACAAAAGCAAGGATGTCGGGACCGTGAGTTAGGCTTTTGATTTTTTCTTCCCAACATCTATGTGAAGTCCAAATCCGCAGTTGCTTTTGAATTTGACCCCTCCCCCAACCACACATACAAGTGTGTATTTGCCTGCAACTGGGGACCCCCTGTTCTTCTTTTGTTTGTAGTTAAACTTTTTTAAAAGACCACCCATATGCTTTGTACAGAGTTGTCAATCGGGGACCCTTTGTCAATCTGGGACCTTATTGTCCTCTATTGTCCAGGGTCCCCAGTTGAATGCAGAAACAAACTCGACATCACACACACACAGCAAAACCTGGATTTGTCTTCATTTGTTTTCCGTTGTTTGTCGTTTACAGAACCCTGTTTTGCACGATTTCAGCCCCAAGACTGGCCCTCAATCCGGAGGAACACGGATTGCAATCTACGGTGAATTCCTTGATGTTGGAAGAAACATCAACGTTTTACTTGGAAGTACCCCATGCTTGGTTGAAAGGTGACCGTACCAAACTTCTATGATTTGGCCAAAGTGACTGATTTCCTATGTTTTGGTTCACAGCCAATAAGTAATTTTTGTCACAGCTTTCATCTAGTGAATTTGAAATGATGCTACAATTTCCTTACTAGGTCCGATGTCAATGACAGCAGAATAATCTGCCAAACTTCCAGCGTCGGCCAGCTCGGTTCCTGGTCACTTTATGTGTTTTTCGATGGTGCAGTACGGTTTTCCCAAGGGCAGTTCACATATGTCCAAGATCCAGTGGTGTCGGGATTAGATCCCTCAACTAGCATCTTGTTGTAAGTCAGATCATACAGTTAACCATCAAAGATTGACCTCGTTCACGCAAAAGCCAGCAGTTCAGGCTGAATAGACAAACGTGATTTTCAAGCTACCTGCTTCCATTTTGAAAGATAACTCGTCAAACTAACATCGCATTCTGTCTATCTTGTCAGATTTGTTTTTCAGGTTGAATTCCTCATTTATACAGAACCTACATGAACATTCAAAATTAAATTTGTCCCATCTGTGTATTCAGTTAAGATCACCCGACGCTCGGTTTTTTCTTTTACTGTAACATAATTAGATCTTCTTCACTTCTTTTTTTTTCCATGAATGGATGTTTTCGTGTAGGGGTGGTCGAAAGCTTCAAGTTAGTGGATCTGGTTTTTCTGTTCTACAACGAACTCAGATATTAGTTATTATTCAAAGCAACCAACGGGAATTTATTGAGGTAAGTTCAAGTTTGAAATTTTGTCTCAAGGACATCAACGCGTCTCTGAAGAAGGTCACATACAAAACTTCACGCTCCTGTAGTCTGTTTTTACTCTGCCATTCCCTGATTTGTGGATTGATATGTAGTACGTTGGCAAGTCTGATTTATTTTAAAATTTTAAATTCAACTGCAGTTTATGCCCTGTGAGCTTGTTTTCAAGAATTTGTAATCGCAGGTATTCTTGACTTATTTTCAGGACTGCAGTGTAGAAAGTGACGAAGTCATGCACTGCATTTCCCCAAGAATTGATGCTGTTCCAAACCAAACACTTTCAAGCGATACGTTTTTGAACGTTTCTACTGGCTTCATCATGGACGCGGTCACCTCACTTCGCACCTGGTGTTCCGATCCAAATTCCTGTACGCTGCTGAAGTATTACCCGAATCCCAAATATTACACTTTTGATGACCCACTTTATGGATACGAGGATGGAATTGCTGAAATGAACGGAGACACTCTGATCGTCCGTGTAAGTTTGGGATTGTACATCAACGAAATCTATGATTTTGCTTGAAAGAGTAATAGTTTTGGGTCTTTTAACTTTTCTCTTCATCAACAATCGTGTTAATCGCATTCTCTGCATGCCCGTCAGTGGCTTGTGACCGTCCGACCTTTTGTTTTGCTTTTGGTCACCCTGACTACATGTTCATCTATTTCCATTAATTACTGTCATTAAAAAATCAACTCAAGAGCTGAATATGAACAGAATATACAAGACACTAAGAAGTAATCCAGCTCGTGTAAAATTTTTAAAAAGAATGCAAACTGTTTATATTGACTTGATTATCTGTAGGGTCCTCAAACCTTTGATACAGCCCAAAAGGTGTTTGAGTAAAAACTTATGTGAAAACTTTCTNCAGTAATTTTTGTCACAGCTTTCATCTGATGAATTTGAAATGATGCTACAATATCCTTACTAGGTCCGATGTCAATGACAGCAGAATAATCTGCCAAACTTCCAGCGTCGGCCAAATCGGTTCCTGGTCACTTTATGTGTTTTTCGATGGTGCAGTACGGTTATCCCAAGGGCAGTTCACATATGTCCAAGATCCAGTGGTGTCAGGATTAGATCCCTCAACTAGCATCTTGGCGTAAGTCAGATCATACAGTTAACCATCAAAGATTGACCTCGTTCACGCAAAAGCCAGCAGTTCAGGCTGAATAGACAAACGTGATTTTCAAGCGACCTGCTTCCACTTCCCATTTTGAAAGATAACTCGTCAAACTAACATCGCATTCTGTCTATCTTGTCAGATTTGTTTTTCATGTTAAATTCCTCATCTTTACAGAACTTACATAAACATTCAAAATCAAATTTGTCCCATCTGTGTATTCAGTTCAGATCACCTGACGCTGGTTTTTTTCTTTTACTGTAACATAATTAGAATTCCTTCACTTCTGTTTTTTCCATGAATGAATGTTTTCGTGTAGGGGTGGTCGAAAGCTTCAAGTTAGTGGATCTGGTTTTTCTGTTCTACAACGAACTCAGATGTTAGTTATTATTCAAAGCAACCAACGGGAATTTATTGAGGTAAGTTCAAGTTTGAAATTTTGTCTCAAGGACATCAACGCGTCTCTGAAGAAGGTCACATACAAAACTTCACGCTCCTGTAGTCTGTTTTTACTCTGCCATTCCCTGATTTGTGGATTGATATGTAGTATGCTGGCAAGTCTTATTTATTTTAAAATTTTAAATTCAACTGCAGTTTATGCCCTGTGAGCTTGTTTTCAAGAATTTGTAATCGCAGGTATTCTTGACTTATTTTCAGGACTGCAGTGTAGAAAGTGACGAAGTCATGCACTGCATTTCCCCAAGAATTGATGCTGTTCCAAACCAAACACTTTCAAGCGACACGTTTTTGAACGTTTCTACTGGTTTCATCATGGACGGGGTCACCTCACTTCGCACCTGGTGTTCCAATCCAAATTCCTGTACGCTGCTTAAGTATTACCCGAATCCCAAATATTATACTTTTGATGACCCACTCTATGGATACAAGGATGGAATAGCTGAAATGGACGGAGACACTTTGATCGTCCGTGTAAGTTTGGAATTGTACATCAACGAAATCTATGATTTGGCTTGAAAGAGTATTAGTGTTGGGTTATTTCATTTTTCTCTTCACCAACAATCGTGTTAATCGTATTCTCTGCATGGCTTGTGACCGTCCGACCTTTTGTTTTGCTTTTGGTCACCCTGACTACATGTTCATCTATTTCCATTTATTACTGTCATTACAAAAATCAACTCAAGAGCTGAATATGAACAGAATATACAAGACACTAAGAAGTGATCCACCTCGTGTAAAATTTTTAAAAAGGATTGCAAACTGTTAATATTGACTTGATTATCTGTAGGGCCCTCAAACCTTTAAGATGATACAGGCAAAAAGGTTTTTGAGTAAAAACTTATGTGAAAACTTTCCNTTTTAAAACAGGGAGACCTTCTTGATCTTGCTATTACTAATAACGAAATCACTGTCTACGTTGGACGGGATATTTGTACCGACATCACCCTAGATAGGAGTGCTTTGGGTTGCAAAGTGCCGCAAACACAACTTGAGGCCGGTGATAATCTGGGGAGAAAAACCTCCAGAAACCTGCCATTTGTCCGGGTAAGAGTTATTACTTTGTGATATTACACAGATGTTGAAAATGCAACATTTACTGAGTGAGCAAAATAAAACTTCAGATATACAACAGGACACAAAGAATTGCAGCAATGCTTAAAAATAAGAGATTAGACATCATATTACACAATTTTGTTGTCACTGTTGAGGAGACATCATAATGGGTGTCACGGCTGTCAAACATTCAAAAGCAAACACGTCTCTGGAGTTGTTTAAAGGATCCGTGAAATGAATTTTTTAGAATCGATTTTTGTGTACCTCTGTACTCTTCTTCCATGTATGAAGACTGTTTAACATCTTTTTGGAGTTATGTGAATTGACAGATGCACTTTTTTAAACATTAAAGATTAACTATGCATTTATGGACAACTGAGGGCGCTTTCGCTTTAACTGGTGCGTTCGATTAGCTTACACGTGTAACTTAAACTTACACCAGAGCGTTCGTTTAGCCATTAGGTGATCCTCATGCCTGCCCTGGTGTCAGCCACCACTACCCCGGCTAGCGAACGGGTCTTTGGAGGCTGCCCAGTGTAATGACGTCACGGATCGACTGTTCGTGCTTGGACATGATGGAGCGTGGCGGAGACTTGACCTTTTTCCCAGAATGCCTTGGCGAATACGCTGTAGCGTTCGATTAGCCTCATTCCGAGGCTTCCCTTGCCTGTAACACTGGTGTATTCGGGGAAGCTAATCGAACGCACCCAGTAGATCCAGGAAGACGGTTCAGGTTGCATGTTTCATGTTCAAATTGTGAACTCCAAATTTGCTATCTGGGAAAATTTCTGTTAAAGAGTTGTTTGCTAGCTTATTGCCGTTTACTTACACAACAATAAATTGCCAAAGAAAATGCTACCATAGCAGGTTTTCAAAAAATCTAGACATTTTCTGTGCAAAACATTGAGATTCAGTGCCTTGGATGGCATCATAGTTTTGCTCAAGAATATGCAAATGTGCATTAGCATAAAAACCAATAAAGCTCCAAAATATGGGTAAAAATTGTAAAACAAATGTTTAAAATCAAGTTAATCGAAACCCTAAGATGCAATTTCAAGGGTTTTTAACACAATTTAGTCGAAAAGTTAAAAGTTTTCCAGGGAAAGAGGGGAAGACCAAGAAAAGGGGGACAGAACGGTTGTCGTTCAACTTCCCGTCTGATGAATATCTCTACGCGTCTCCACGCATTTCCAATGGAGTGAAGACCTAGACCTCGCTCTAGACAAGAGATTCGGCCGACGCAGCCAAAGCACCCGCGCGACTGAGTCCACGTTGGGCCGCGCTGATATAGGGAAGACCTACGGATGAACTTTGTTTGCGTATGCGTAGGTGGAATACCAAACTGGCAACTCATCATTGTGCCAAACCAGCCTCGTTTCCATCTTGCTGGGCCATGTTGGTGCCCACCATGTCTTGCGTGATCTTCTAGTGAAAGAATGCACACGCAGCCCATGGAGTCGAGTTTGTGTCCCCAACCTCTTCTATAAGCAAATTAAACGTAAATTTTTCCCAACTACATAGGTGTTTCATGGCACAAATGTGGTCTTTGACATCGGATACATCCGTTCTCCCAGCCAGTCAAACGCAGCCCTCATCGTGAGTCTTATCAGCGCAGTTGCCATCTTAGGCGTTACGATCTTGGCTGTGGTGCTGTACAAGAAATCCAAGGCCGCCCGAAGAGAAGTTGAGGAGCGACGGACCGACCTGGTCAAGATGACGATTGAAAAGACCGAAGCTGTGATTACTGGTCGGTATATGTTTTTTTTTTATCTTACATGCGCTGGTTCCAAGCCACTGTCTCCCTGTATACCACTGTTCAATGTTCTATTTTCACTATTATATCAACTTGCCGGGAAATTTGGGTTTTAAATCTGATCATGTGTTGTCCGCGGCATGCATTGTTAACACTTGTACCAATATGAGCATGCACCTGACTACCTGAAAGGATGACAACACAGATCCCAGCTTAATCGTCCATATTTTAAATCTGTAGGCTACTATAAAGAAACAAAGTTGAATAAGAAATATTGTAAACTTATAGTCTCTGTTTTAATTCTTGTTACAGTTTCCGGAGGCTTTCATGAGAATGCCAGAGAATGATGAAACATTGACACCTTTATGACGGAATTAATAATACCCACGTTTTTTGCAGTAATGTGATCATTAAAAGTTAGCTATCGCTGTAATAATCAGAAACTTATGTTGTTGATTTAATGTCTATTTAACCAGAAGTACCTTCTGATCGAATGAAGATTAAACTTCGCCGACAATTTGGCTTTCCAGTGTTTCAACTTCATTGAGTCAATTGTTCCTATTCATTTACACAGGAAGTTATAAGGTTTCCATTCTTTAGAGTTGATAGCGTCTTATTTCCTTTTATGTATACTGTCTAAAAACCTGTAGAAAAAAGGAGCTGTAACCCAGAAATAATTTATATACTTTTAACGGTCATTTTCCTTATTTTTTCCTGATTGGTAAACCTGATTTTTCACACACTCCAGTGTTTGTCGATTTTCTGTTAAGTACCGTTAACTGATTTAATTAATACAATGACTGAACGTTTTATGGGACGTCATCATTTTTTTTTTCATTTAAATTTTTTGTAATTTCTCTCTATAAGATTTGGCCACATACGCACACAAATTATACAGCACTTTGTGACCAGTCCCTGTTGGACTACTTTTTCATGCTAGGTTTACCTTTTGTATAAAAGCAAGTACTCTCATTATTTTAAGACGTTTTAAATGTCAGATGTATAACATATTGCTTTTTTTATGTATGTCGCAGGGCTCTATAATCTATAATCTCTATAACCCTCTATATAGGATTTAATCTTAATGACATGTCAGGAAATGCTGAGTGTTGCTTAGAATGTGTTAAAAATAAGGAAAACTTGTTAAGCTCACATTTTTAAAAAGGAAGCTTTGTAGTTTAAATGTAAGCCAAGTTGAACTTCATTGCATTTTACAAATTGATAACTGCAGTATGAGTCAATTCCATTATAAGGAAGATCAAAATTAATTCAAACACGGCTTCTGTTGTAGCAATTATGAGCATTAAAAAAGAGGTTTTATGCTTTCATGTGAAATGAAACATAATTCAGTTCGCACGGTTCGAAAACATTTCATGTTTCAACCCACGATCTAAATGATGTGATACACGCTAGTAGGCAGTATCAAATACTCGGACAAAATTCTCCAACGTACGCTGTGCATGACTCGGACATGTTTCCTCATAAAGTTGGTTGTTTTGATCTCCTGACTCTGAGTTCAGGCGTGTAGTCAGGTTTCCTTGTAGCTCAAAATTCCCACAGTACTCCCCGATTTTGCTAAATAAAGGATGTGAGAAAACCGTCATTCATAGCCACGCTGAAACATTGTTCACGTGAAGACAAACCACGGATACTGAGGCAAGAAATAAAGTACAGTGGTGATAGCGTTCAACCTGCGTGTTCCCGTGTGAATTCAGTCCAAG